CTCACATAAACTTTCCACTGGTGTTTTTGTCTTCAAGCCTTGCCTGCACCTTGGCTGACAAGTGTATGGTGCCATCAAGTTTGGAGACTTTCCAGAGTTCCGCGGCACAAATCAGCTTGCTTCCTGTTGCTTTTCTCTTACTGCCGGCTTGTGCTTTGGCCTTGCTTGGTTTAAATTTTTTTTTTTCAACGTTTATTTATTTTTGGGACAGAGAGAGACAGAGCATGAACGGGCGAGGGGCAGAGAGAGAGGGAGACACAGAATCGGAAACAGGCTCCAGGCTCTGAGCCATCAGCCCAGAGCCCGACGCGGGGCTCGAACTCACGGACCGTGAGATCGTGACCTGGTTGAAGTCGGACGCTTAACCGACTGCGCCACCCAGGCGCCCCTGGCCTTGCTTGGTTTAAATCGGCAGCCATTATTCCATCAATTTTACAGCTTCTGAAAGAATTGTCATTTTTTTGTGTTTCATCTCGTCTCCTCTCCTTTTCTCTTTGCCTTATGCGTTTATGCTTTCTGTTTTTTGATGCCTTCTTAGTTGGATTTCAGAAGAATGGTAATAAACACATGGGTTCAATTTTCCATGTTTAACTGAAAGCCCTCTTCGTTGTTCAGGTTTCTGTGTGTCTGGTCTCCCCGACTAGAGAGTGAACTCCAAGGAAACCATTATTGAAGTGTTATTATACATTGTTTTACAGGATCTTCCAAACAGGCGTTCTACTTATGTTTATGGTTGATATTACGGATTACCTTGAGTGGCCAGCACAAGTACCCTTGAGGTTACATAAAAGACTTTTCAAGAACACTGGCAATTTCTAGGACTTCAACTTCCACCTGTACCCCTTCCTAAAATTAATCTAACATTTGCAGCCCATGTATCGTATTGGCTTTCCTTTCTCTTTTCCTCTTTAATGATGCATTTCTCTCCTTTTCCCCCTCTCTTTTACACACACACACACACACACACACACACACACACACACACCCCACATCTAAATCTTTTTCTGGCACAATTTGCCCAGGGTGTAAAAACCTGCAGGGCAGCATACAAACATACAATTTGACATATTGCTTTGGGCCAACTTCTTCCAACTAAGGCCCCATAAGCTGAGGTATGGCAGTACGGTCATACATATATATAACATTTTTCTTCCCCTGCCAACAGCTCAGCTTGGTATGAGAAAACAGGTATTTGGCCCATGTCTGAATGTAGATATATTATAGTGGGGGAAAGGATGCAGGAATGACGATTTTTAATTAAAGAATTTGCCTCTTCCATCTGTTGTCAGAGAAAGCATCGCTCCTGAGGAAGTCCTAGAGAAGTAAAGCTAGAGGAGAAATGTTGAAGGTGATGGCTCCTTCTTTCTTCCAGCTAATGGCAAGATTCCATGTGTTGTCTAACTACCTTAGTACACTGTTACTCAAAATCCAGAAAACCTAGAAAGATAGCACCAAGATCCTGGATTCTAAACACCATTCTTCAATCAAAAACCAGGGCAGACCTCTTAGAGAAGTGGTTGGTTCCAAAGGTGGGTCAGGGAGACCTGAACTGGAACATCAAACATGGAACATCTTGTGGTTCCAGGATGTAAGGAAATACCAAAAGCCAACCAACAAGCAAAGAAACAATGAGGATTTGTTTAAAGAATAAAGGAGCCAAAGTGAAGGAGCTCTCCTAATAGCCAAAGGAGGAACAATGTGAACAACAAAAGAAACAATGGTATTATTGGATTTTAACTCACAGAACAAAATAAACATCTGAGTACACAGTATAAAAAAATCAAATAAATGGGAGAGGAGCATCTCTCTACTTGCTAGATGGAATGATAATCAATTCATGAATTACTTAATAAAGCCAACTGCACTTTCAAAAAATTAAAAGATTAAAAAATGGTGGAGAAGAGACAGCTAGCACAATCTTAGAGAATTCCAATTAGCGTAGGAGAGAGGGAAACAGAACATCACCACTTGCAAAACATCACAGGAATAATTGTAGATGAGATCCACTAAAACTAGTGGGTGAGTATAGAGTAACAATTTGCCTGGTCTCACAAGTATCTCTCCCAAGATATCTGTTAACTAAAAGGGTAACTTTACAATGAAGAAATCTGACTGAAACCACCTTAAGCAAATAACCAAATCAACATCACTAATAATAACTAAGACATATTGACACTAGAAATCCTGTGATAGGGCGGATGGAGGACAGCTTCACTGCTGTCATTTTCTTCCAAAAAGTACGACCTTAATTCAATCACAACATCAATAAACCCAAACTGAGGGACATCAGACAAAAGACAAAAAAAAAAAAAAAAAAAAAAAAAAAAAATTGATAAAACACTCTTTTAAAACAATAAGGGCATGAAGGACTAGGAGATACTGAGGAACTGTTATAGACAGTAGCAGACTGACTAGTAGCTAACTGTATTTTCTGGGTCATACTCTGGAACAGAAAAAGGACATTAATAAAAAAGCTGGTGAACTATGGTTATGGAAGATGCTAACATAAGGGGAAGCTGGGTGAGGTATATATGTCAACAGTGTTTTTGCAATTTTTCTGCAAACCTATGAATATGAAGTATACCTTCTCTGCACCCCCCCCCCCCCCCCATTACCAGGGCTAATGTGTAGCCTACAACTATATTTTAATTCCAGGACAAAGTACTAATGAAATGTTTGTGGAATGAAAACCTATGATCTAATGACTCTTCTTGATATGGTTGTGGTTGAGAAATGTTACATTTAAGGCATTTGCCGAGGGTGGGGGAGAGCTGAGTGGCTCAGTTGGTTGAGCATCTGACTTCAGCTCAGGTCATGATCTCACAGTTGGTGGGTTCGAACCCTGCGTCGGGCTCTGTGCTGACAGCTCAGAGACTGGAGCCTGTTTCAGATGTTGTGTCTCCCTCTCTGTCTGCACCTCCCCTGCTTGTACTCTGTCTCTCTCTCTCCCTCAAAAATAAAGAAACACTAAAAAAAAAAAAAAAAAAAAAGACATACGTCAGGGACTCAACTTCCAAATTTTTGCTTTTAGGCAGGATATGGAGAAACTCTTCGGAAGTTAGACTCTACTTTGCCATTGATTCTGTTTTCTGTTTTTGTTATTCGTATTGGGACGGGGGTCAGAGGAAGAGAAAGAGAGAATCTCAAGCAGGCTCTACACTCAGCACAGAACCCAACACAGGGCTCAATCCCACAATGCTTGGATCATGACCTGAGTGGACATCAAGAGTCGGATGACCCTGCCCCACAGGTGCCCCGCCACTGATTCTGTTTTGAATGAACTGTATGACCAGAAAAGAATAGAATTCCTGCCTTCTGTACTTCTCCAGGTACACCTTGTAACAGTTACAACAATAAAAATAATTAGAATTTGCTTAAATGTCCTTACCCTCCAAAGGAATAAGAGCTAGCATTAAGTAAAATAGCAAAGAGATAATAGATGCTTGAGCTCGTGAGCACAAACGAGTTTTATTTAATTCCAAGTGTTGCAACCTAAGTACACTTTTCTTTTCTCTTCCAAGTTCTTTAACTGCTAAAAATGTCCTTATAGAGACTACCGTTGTAAAATGGGATTAATTAGTAATTTATTAAATCTACCTGTCAATTGATATGTTCTGCATGGAGCCTTTGAAATGATGTTTTGAGAGTTTATTTACAATCACTGAAAACAGCTGGTTCTATAAAACATACAAGGAGTTACAGGCTCCTTAAACTTACAACATACGTGTATTTCAACACTTAAATAGAAGCTCATTTTTTCAAAAGCAGTTTTCTACTTTCTCATAAAAATATAAAAAAGACAACATTCATAGTTTTAAAAACCCTTATTTAGCCCAAGTCACGATTTTTCTACAAACGATACCTCTTTCCAAAAAGCTTAAAAGACATCATAGAATGATGTCATGCACAACTAAATAATTTCACCACAGCAGAGTATATCACTTTTAAGAAATATTGTGCAGTATTTCTTTTTAATCTTACATGCTACATTTCAACGGTGTCTATGCTATGTAAACACATGAGATTAATCCAAGTCATTTGTATTTACTCAGTAGATCGCCAGATATGACCAGTTGCCATGAACTGTCAAATCACAATGGCAAAAATAATAATAAAATAATAAAAGGCAATCTTTATGAATGCTTAGAAAAACTTAATAAAAGGCAACCAACATCGCCCTAAGTTTTGGTAAAAATTACCTTTCTTCCTCTTCCTTTTCCTCTCCTACCTTTTACAGCATATTAACACACAAAGATATTTATATCGCTTTACTTAAATTAAACTTTTAAGTGACTCTTTTCTGATACACACAACTTATCAAAAGGCACCAAGATTGGACTCCTAAGTACTTTCAGAATTTTGGTTCCTTTTAAGGTTCCTCTAGATTGATTTTCCTCAGACAAGAGTAACTCTAAGAACCAGAAGAAAACGAATGACATAACACAGTAAGTGGACACTTGTACGACTGAAAAGGCATAAATATATTAATAGGTTCCTTGAGCTTTTCATTTAAGAAGTCACAATAACCTTCTGAACATAAACATAAAAATCGAGCACATTTATTAAGAGTAAAACTCCTCTAAGTTTATAGTAACAAGGTAGTAAATCTTCCATAATAACACAGCCAAAAGCATGAGAAATTCACTGCCAGACATTGTGGTTCATTATCCTGAAAACATGTCTGATACGTAGCACTAACATGTAACAAAGTGTGGCATTCATTTCACAGGGAGAAAAGAAAAGTTTCATCACAATAACAGATTTACTGGATTCAGCTTTAAGTTTTAGAGATATATATTAAAGATAAAAAAGAAAAACGAGATTTACCCTTAAAATAAAAAAAGTCTTATATATATATGTGTATATATATATATATACACATATATATATATATATATATATACACACACACACGCACACACACACAATACTCTTTATGCTCTTATGATGTGTAAAACATTTAGAAACTTCCAAACTCTAGAAATGTTGACTGGTTAACCTGTTTGGCCTTAACACGATCTAAATTCCCTTTCGAGAATCACACTGATGTGTTCAGTCCGGCAGTCCAATAGGGACAGAGCGATTCTATTTCTTTTTCTTCTTCTTTGGTGGTTCATCCTCGGAGCTGCTCTCTGTGTTGGTGCTGCTGCTACTGGAAGAGCTAGAATCTGAGTCTGAATCAGAGGACGAGGAAGAGCTCGTGGAGGAGGATGAAGATGATGAACTGGAGGAACTTTCATCGGTGTCACTGTCCTCTGAGGAGGATGAGGTAGATGTTTCTTCACTCTCAGATGAAGAATCACTGGCTGAACTGTCACTGCTATTGCTACTGGAACTGGTGACACTCTTAGACCTGTTAGACAGTGAACAGTTACATGCAGGGGAAGCTGACCCTTCACAGAATGTTTAAAAAGCAATTTCATGGGCGAACGAGGTATATGGATACACTGAAGCCTGGCTACCACGGGATCCCTAGATGTGGTGCGCTGGGGACTGTGTGACTAGTAATCCCGCAGCAACCGCAGGTTTTACTTTAATAACGTAACTCTCCTGGATGGAGTTCAAGAGCAGTGTTCCTACTCTTAATATACTCCAGAATGAATCATGTTAGAATAAAGTTGCAGTGTAATTGTTGGGTTTATTTAAGCCTTGGAGAGCATGGTAAATGTTTCATAATCTTTACTCTCACCAGATATATAGCTGGTCACCAATTTTTTTTTTTTACCAGTCTAATAATATTTCCTATTCTAATAGAATAAGAGAGATTTCTAAGAGAAATTATTTACTACTTCCAGGTATACTCTGGAAAGTTGGAGAAAAAGGAGAAATGAAGCCAATAAATTCCAGTCAGGTAAAGAGAGGAAAAAGGGATGATACTTAATCACGAATTCCAGACAAGAGATTTCAGATCCAAATTTTATCACAAGTGTTTTAAAATCACTCTTTTCATCCCTCCAATGAGTATTCTTTATTATCTACATAATTTCCTAAAGCCACACTTACCTTTTTTTCTTCGTCTTTCTTTCTACATTAGTTTCTCCGATGCTGATAAACATGAGGGGGGAAAAAGCTCCTGTTAATAGTGATTATACACAGCTCAGGCAAACCCTTCAGCTATCCCCAAAACTGTTTTACATTGGAGAAACACTTTGTCTTTCATGACAAATACTGACTCCAGTATTTTCTTGTTATAAGCAATAAGTTAGTTTCCTACTATAGGCTGCATATGATACATGCAGTCAACTTAATCAGTACTTAAAGGGTAAGACAGGGGCGCCTGGGTGGCGCAGTCGGTTAAGCGTCCGACTTCAGCCAGGTCACGATCTCGCGGTCCGTGAGTTCGAGGCCCGCGTCGGGCTCTGGGCTGATGGCTCAGAGCCTGGAGCCTGTTTCCGTTTCTGTGTCTCCCTCTCTCTCTGCCCCTCCCCCGTTCATGCTCTGTCTCTCTCTGTCCCAAAAATAAAGAAACGTTGAAAAAAAAAATTAAAAAAAAAAAAAAAAAGGGTAAGACAGATATTATCAACTGTATCTTAGAAGCCAGGTAAGTTGGTGGTTAAGAGGACTGAGTGCACCAATTTGATTCTTTTTAGTTTTTTTTTTTTTTTTTTAATTTTTTTTTTTTTCAACGTTTATTTATTTTTGGGACAGAGAGAGACAGAGCATGAACGGGGGAGGGGCAGAGAGGGAGAGAGACACAGAATCGGAAACAGGCTCCAGGCTCTGAGCCATCAGCCCAGAGCCCGACGCGGGGCTCGAACTCACGGACCGCGAGATCGTGACCTGGCTGAAGTCAGACGCTCAACCGACTGCGCCACCCAGGCGCCCCAATTCTTTTTAGTTTTAAGCTAAGGCTGACATGGCTAAACCAACTACTTATGGAATAACAAAACAACAGTAAAACACCAACTATAATTTGAGTTTTCAGAATTATCTTATAAATGACTATTTCATTAAAAAAAAAAAAAAAGGAAAGCAACCTTTAATTTAAAATAACCATTTCTGGGGGTGCCTGGGTGGCTCTGTCGGTTGAGCCTCCGACTTCAGCTCAGGCCATGATCTCATGGTTCATGAGCTTAGCCCGGCCTTGGGTTCTGTGCTGACAGCTCAGAGCCTGGAGCCTCCTTCGGATTCTGTGTCTCCCTCTGTCTCTGCCCCTTCCCTGCTCACACTGTCTCTCACTCTCTCTCAAAAATAAGTAATAAAAACATGTCTATAAAATAACCATTCCTGGGGGCACCTGGGTAGCTCAGTCTGTTGAGCCTCCAACTTCAGCTCAGGACATGATCTCATGGTTCACGGGTTCAAGTCCTACATGGGGCTCTGTGCTGACACTTTAGAGCCTGGAGCCTGCTTCGGATTCTCTCTCTCCCTCTCTCTCTGCCCCTCCCCTCCTCATGCTCTGTCTCTGTCACTGTCTCTGTCTCTGTCTCTCTCTCTCTTAAAAATAAATAAACATTTAAAAAAATTAAAAATAAAACAAAATAACCATTTCTAGGGCATCTGGGTGGCTTAGTCAGTTGAGCGTATTACTCTTGATTTCGGCCATGATCCAAGGGTCATGGGATGGAGCCCTGTGTTGGACTCTGCACTAGGCATAGAACCTGCTCTACTCACTCTGTCTCTAATAAAAAAAATAAAAAAATAAAATGAAATAAAATAGCCATTTCTTTTTCTGCATGTCCCCTAAATTGTTCAGTTATTTACTATTTGATTTATTTAGTTAGTTTTTTTTTTTTTTTTTAAGTACACTCCACAACCAGTGTGGAGCCCAATGTAGGATTTGAACTAATGACCCCGAGATCAAGACCTGAGCTGAGATCAAGACTCTGACACTTAACCAATTGAGTCACCCAGGCACCTCCAGTTATTGTTATTTACTATTATTAAAACCAGACACTTAATACTTCAAGACTGTGTTCCCTCACATTTTTTTTTTTAACGTTTATTTATTTTTCAAAGAGACAGAACGCGAGAGGGGGAGGGGCAGAGAGAGAGAGAGAGAGAGAGAGAGAGACAGAATCTGAAACAGGCTCCAGGCTCCGAACTGTCAGCACAGAGCCCGATGCAGGGCTCAAACTCATGAGCTATGAGACCATGATCTGAGCTGAAGTCAGACACTTAACCAACTGAGCCACTACTCACATTATTTATAAAGAACAAAGTCTGATGATTTTTGAATGAAATATACGAATGGTTTGCTGCTATATTTCTGCCAAATATACATGCTATATCGGGTTTTCAAATTACATAACTACTTCTATTACTATAGCACTGTCCTGTAAATTTAACATTTTTATATTCTTGACTTCTCTGTATTTCCTAGATAATGTTTGTATCCTTATTTTTTGAGTCTTTGAATATAAATATATATTTATGTAAAGTTGTCTCACATAATGGAATTACTACAATTGTTATTTTCATGGTAAAATAAGTGGTAGGAGTACATTTATCAATCACACCAGAAAAACTGATGATCACTGAGATTCATACACTTTCATCATTTTATCAGTGAACCAAAAATCAGCAGTTTTTATCTAATAGAGCCATATCTAAAATTCATGTAGTTTTGTGTATTTTTTTTTAAAACATTTATTTATTTTGAGAGGGGCAGAGGGGCAGACAGAGGGAGAGAGGGAGAATCCCAAGCAGACTCCACACTGTCAGTACAGAGCCCGATGCAGGGCTGGCTCTTACCAACCATGAGATCATAACCTGAGCCGAAATTGAGAGTCAGACACTTAACTGGTTGAGCCATCCAGGTGCCCCTAGTTTTATGTATTTTTAAGAACAAGATATTCATACCATACAACTAGAAAAACAAAGTAAATGTTGAAATTATTCATAACTATTATACTTTATTAAAAATTTTTTTAATGTTTGTTTTGGAGAGAGAGCGCACAAGCAGGGGAAGGGCAGAGAGAGAAGGGGATAGAGGATCAGAAGTGGACTCTGCATTGATAGCAGTGTGCCTGGTGCAGGGTTTGAACCCACAAACCCTGAGATCATGACCTGAGCTGAAGTCGGAGGCTCAACTGACTGAGTCACCCAGGCACCCCTATATTTTTTTAGGACAGGGCTCTTCAAACATTTTTTGCTTACGTTCTTTTTTTTTTTTTTTTTTAAGAGAGAGAATGACAGAGCACAAGCAGGGGAGAGGGGCTGAGAGAGAGGGAAAGAAAGAATCCCAAGCAGGCTCCATATTCAGTGCAGAGCCTGACGCAGGGCTCAATCCCATGACCCTGGGATCATGACCTGAGCTGAAAACAAGAGCTGGATGCTCAACTGATGAGCTACCCAGGTGCCTCCCTTTTGCTTACATTCTTTTCTTAAAAAATGTTTATTTATTTTGTGTGTGTGAAAGAGAGCACATATGCCAGCAGGGGAGATGAAGAGAGAGAGAGAGGGACAGAGAAAATCCCAAGCAGGCTCTGAGCTGAAAGACACAGGGCTTAATCTCATGAACTGAGATCATGCCCTGAGCCAAAATCAAGAGTTGGACACTTAACCAACTGAGCCACCAGGCGCAGCCCTCTTACATTCTTAATAAAGAATTTGAAAAACTTTTTTTGCCTCTTCCTTTTTTAAATCCAAGTTTTAATATTAACGAAAAGTGTAATGACTCATCTCATATATATAATTTTAAAAGAAAATTATTATATCATTTGGTAATTGTATCCAATGGAAAGTAAATGCCACAATATTTGATACCTACTGTAATTCACTCAAAAATTATGAACAAGCTTATCTTTAACAGTTGGTACTTTTACACTGTCTTTTTTCCTCACTGAACTTGTACTTTTTTTTCTTTTTGTTTTCTTTTTCTTAAAGTAGGCTCCACACTCAACATGAGGTTCAAACCCACAACTCTGAGATCAGGAGTCAAATGCTCCACTGACTGAGCCAGCCAGGTACCCCTGAACTTGTACTTTTATTCTCGTTTCCCTATAGAAAGTATCCTAATATATTTTTATGGCAAAGATTTTTAGTGATCACTTATGGTATTTCTCGGCAATAAAAACAGAGACCTAACTTAAAATTGTATTTTTTAATTGCATATGATCCTAAGACTTTAAAAGTGTTTAAAAATTCTGAATTGAGCAACCATTACTGATAATACAATTGATTAAAACAATGTAGAAATACATTATAAATTTTAAAGTTTATTTATTTTGAGAGAGAGAGAAGGAGAAAGGAAGAGAAAGAATACCAAGCAGGCTCCAGGCCACCAGTGCAGAACCTGACACGGGGCTTGAACCAATGAAACCATAAGATCATGACCTGAGCCAGGATCAAAAGTTGGACACTTAACTGACTGAATCACCCAAGTGCCCCAATACATTACAAATTTTAATAAGTATTACACATCAAAGTAAATTTATTGGAAATGCATCTCTTAATGACATCGAGTGTTTTTCCACTTAATGTATCCATGGATCTTATTGCTAAATTCCAACAAGGTTCAGCATTAATTCAATTCCTATATTTAATTTGTATAGATTTGACCCTAAGAAACCTTCTTAACCTCAACAGTTGGGAATAGAGTTTTGTTGTAGCAATGTCACTGTTTGAATTCCTCCAATGTTGTATTCCATGAGTCACAAAAATGTATGATTAAAAAACACTTTTATGGGCACCTGGGTGGCTCAGTTGGTTAAGTGGCTGACTCCTGATTTCAGCTCGGGTCATGACGTCATGTTTTGTGAGTTTGAGCTATGTGTCGGGCTCTGTGCTGGCAGCACGGAGCCTGTTTGGGATTTTCTCTCTCTCTCTCTCTCTGTTCCTCCCCTGCTTGTGCTTGCTGTGCTCTCTCTCAAAATAAATAAATAAACATTTAAAAAAATAATAAATTAAAATATACTTTTAAATTGGCAGCTCAATTAGGTCTTCCTTCAGGTTTCCTGGGGGAAAAAAAATTACAAAAGAATTTGCTCCTAATAATTAGAGCTATTCACTTTCTTTGTACATATACCACTATTTTGAAAAATGTTTTCACACATGAAGAAAGAGAATGGAAAAGGAGAACTGGCAGGCAAGTTCTCATACAAATTTAGTTTTGAAAAAGTATGTATGAATGTTGATGACCTAGAAATTGATTACCTATCTATTCCTGCATAACCCTTGAGGAGCATTCATTTCCACAAATTGGGAGACTGCTACCTTGAAAGTCCATGTGTTTAAGACACTATTATATAGCTAACAGTCCTTATGAAGATGCTGCTTCTCATCTGTAGCACTGAGTACACCTGACACCTTCCCATTTCAGTTTCTTTTTTTTTTTTTTTATTTTTTTATTTTTTATATATTTTTTTCAACGTTTATTTATTTTTGGGACAGAGAGAGACAGAGCATGAACGGGGGAGGGGCAGAGAGAGAGGGAGACACAGAATCGGAAACAGGCTCCAGGCTCCGAGCCATCAGCCCAGAGCCTGACGCGGGGCTCGAACTCACGGACCGCGAGATCGTGACCTGGCTGAAGTCGGACGCTTAACCGACTGCGCCACCCAGGCGCCCCCCCATTTCAGTTTCTAAAACATGTTTACTTACTTATTTCAAAGCAATTTTAAAAGCTTTATTCAAAGGACACAAAAGGGTAAGTAACACATTTCCAGGTCCCTCCTACCCAGTTCTCCTTCTATAATGGAGCCACTATGGGGTGCATGTGTGGCTCAGTTGGTTGAGTGTCCAACTTCAGCTCAGGTCATGATCTCCTGGTCCGTGAGTTCGAGCCCTGTGTCGGGCTCTGTGCTGACAGCTCAGAGCCTGGAGCCTGCTTTGGATTCTGTGTCTCCCTTTCTCTCTGCCTCTCCCCCGCTTGTGATATCTCTATCTATCTCTCAAAAATAAACAAACATAAAAAATTTTTTTTTAGAATGGAGCCACTATTATGACTCTTTTATATTTCCAAAAAAATTTCATTATTCCTTCTCTCCTTTTTTAACATAAATGATAGCATATTATATATACTGTTTTCTATCCTATTTATATACTTAGTTTAAGTATCTTGGATGTCTTTCCATATCGACTCTATAACAATAAAGGGAACTGGATAAAAAATGGAGTTGGGAAGCTCTAAAGGGGGGTTCTCACACACTACCACTCGTCATTAACAGCAGACCCCAACATGAAGAATAGTACCTTGCATACTTCAGTAGGAAGTAGCTTACTTTTACCATTCCAGCAGGAGGAAGGACAGTTTTCTTCTTGTCTAGCAATAGCAACAGCCAGGAGAAACTGCCACAGTCGTCCAATGAGAATCTTGATCTCTTATTCTCTTCCAATGGACTTTTGTTTAAAACAGCCCTTCTTGGTGCACCTGGGTGGCTCAGTCGGTTAAGCATCTGCCTCTTGCTTTTGACTCAGGTGATGATCTCACTGTTTCGTGAGTTCAAGCCCAACTTCGGGCTCTGGGCTGGCAGTGAGGAGCCTGTCTGGGATTCTCTCTCCCACTCTCTCTGCCCCTCTTCCACTTGCACTGTTTCTGTCTCTCTCAAAATAAATAAATGAACTTAAAACACAAACAGCCCTTCCCAATTTCCTCTTTTCCCCAATAAAAGCAAGCCCTTCTCCTTTGTTCCTTGGACCTGCCTATGGTTTGCCATGGTTTGTTTGTCCCGGATTGCAATGCCTTTACTATTCCCGAATAAACTCATTTTGCTGGTAAAATAACAACTGGCCATTTTATCTTTCAGGTTGATGGCTCATATAACCTACCTCATAGTCTGCTGTCATTTCACTGGCAGTTAAGTCAATGAAGTACAATGATTAAGAACAAGGCCTGGCTGGTTTAACACTTAATCTTTCCACTTACTGAATGTGTGACACTGACAAGTAACTGAACTTTTCCAGGCTCCAGTTTCTTCACATGTAAAATGGGGATAATAGTACGTACATTAATTGTACAGATGTGATGCTCGAATAAGCTAATAGGTGTCAAGAACTTATATAGCACCTAGGACATAGTAAGCACTCATTAAATGTTAGCCTATACTATAATCTAAATCTGGATAACCACCATGAGACATTTAGTTGTTTAATAAATTCTATAAATAAAAATACTCCTTTGGAGAGTGCCTGGGTGGCTCAGTTGGTTGCGTGTGTGCCTCTTAATCTCAGCTCAGGTCTTGTGGTTGTGGGTTCAGATCCTGCACTGGGCTCTGCACTGGGTCTGAAGCCTACTTAAAAAAAAAAAAAAAAGAAAGAAAGAAAAAAAGAAAAAAGAAAGAAAAAAGAAAAAAACTCCCACATGTACACTTACCTTTGTTGTAATAATAATAATCTGTTTTCTTTTTCTCTTAAAGCTTTCTTTAGTTCTGCTGTTCTTGAAGGCCTATGTAGGTATTTTCTTTTTCCTGTGCATTCATAAGTCCAATGTCCAAATTCTAAGCATTTCTGACATCTTACATGTTGCTTATTTGCTTCACTGCAGAGCAAAAGAACAGAAAGAAAATAGAATACAGGACTTAAGATTTTGACTTGACATTTTCTATCCTTAAAAGTACACATAATGTAAATATTTTTAAGGTCAAATATAAACATAATTTTATACTTTGTTTATTATGTCAGATTTAATTAGAAGGCAGGATACTAAGTAGTCAAGAACATGGACCTTGGGAGTTAGAACTCCATTCAAATCTTCATTCCTCAATTCCATTCCAGTAATGGCAGACTAGGCAGACCAACTCCTCAGCTCAGAAATAGAAAAGACAGGCAAAACATTTTTAACAATCTGCTTGAGGCATCAGAGAACTAACAACGGGGTGAAGAATCTAACCAAGCCAAAATATGGAAGAAAATGGAAATCCACAGCAGTCAGCTCTGTATTTAAGTCAACTTGAGCTGGAAGTGTTTGCTCAGCGGGGTAAACCTCATTATAACAAGCCACGGAGATAAACTATGTATCCAGGGTTAGGTCTCTGAAGATTTATACTATGAGAATAAACCAAGTGTATATAGAATACAGCTCAGCTTCTACTCATCTAGGAGAAAAAGAAAAATCCCAATCCTATAATCCCTGAAATTGGATTAAGATGCAGCAAGTAAAGTCAAATAGATGAAAAGAATTGGAAAGGAAAAAATAAAATGTTCATTCCTCACTGATGACATATTATGTACATGGCAAATCCAAAGAATCTACAGATAAAGTATTTTGAAATAGTTAGAATTCACAAGATCAGCAAGATTTCAGATTGTGGTCAGCAAACTTTGTAAAGAGTCAGATAGCAAAAATTTTAGGCTTTGCCAATAAGGAGGTAAAATTGAGGTTATTATGTAAGTGCTTACCTAACATGAGAGAAAACCCAATTCCACAAATATGTTATTAATAAAAATATTCCACATAAAGGAGGTTTACTAGGGAGAAGAATGGAATTCTTTTCTAGAAGATAACATTTCACTCATTTGAGGTTGAAAGTTAGTGTTTCCTACTATCCAACTGACCATACATATATACATGTAATTAACATTCTTTTTTTTTTTTTTTTTTAGTTGAAAGAGGGTGCAAGTGAGTGAGGGGCAGAGAGAGAAAGAAAGAGAGGAGTGAGGCTCATGTTCATCTGAAGCAGGGTTGTATTAATCTGAAGTGGGGCTCCTGCTCACCCAAAGTGGGCACAAGCTCACCAGATGCCGGACTCAAACTCATGAACCGCGAGATCATGACCTGAGCCAAAGTCAGATGTTTAACTGACTGAGCCACCCTGGCGCCCTGTAATTAACATTCTTGAGAGCCCACCAAAACAAGCAGCAAGTAGGATTCAGCAGGATTCTATAACAAAAACAGTTAAGATGACATTTTAAAAGGTGATATTTATAATTTCCTGAAAAATATCAAATACGTAGAGATACAAAGAAAATATGTACAAGAGTTCTTTGCACAATATAAACATCATGAGAGAAATTAAACATCTAAGTAAGTGGCTATATGGAAAAATATACCATGTTCACAAGAAAACTTGATAATTTCAAAATGTCCATTCTCCACAAACTGATCAATAGATTCAAAGCAATGCCAATGAAAATCAAAACAGGTTGTTTGTTTTGTTAACCAACTTATTCTAAAATGTATATGGAAAAGGCCAAGAATAGCCAAAATGCTCTTGTAAAGGAATAAGTGGGAGAAGACTTAGATTAAAAGTCATTGACTTAATGATACAGCTATACCAATTAAAAATATGAAATTGGAGCAAAGATACACAAGCCCATGGAACAAAACAGACTGCCCAAAAATAGACTAATGTATGTAAGAATACTTATTTTATGACAACCATGGCACTAGACAGCAGTGGGAGAAAAGATAGGTTATTAAGTATACAGGGACAACTGGTTATACATCTGGAAAAAATGAGACTTTACTCTCTACCATATACAAACATTGATTACAGACTGGTCAAAGAATACATGTTTTACAAGATGGTATAAAAAAGGTGACTTGGAGGGGCACCTGGCTGACTCATTTGGAAGAGCATCATCTTGAGGTCGTGAGTTTGAACCGCACGTTGGGTGAGGAGATTAAAAATAAACAAACAAATGAACAAAAAGTGCAAAGGGCGTCTGGCTGGCTCAGTTCGTTAAGTGTCGCACTTTGGCTCAGGTCATGGTCTCGTGGTCTGTGACTTCGAGCCCTCATGGTTCATGAATTCGAGCCGCAAGTCGGGCTCTCTGCTGTCAGTAAGGAGCTTGCATCTGATCCTTTGCCTCTCCTCCTCTCTGCCCCTTCCCTGCTGGTTCTCTCTCTCTCTAAAAATAAATAAATTATACACACACACACACATACACACACACACACACACACACACATATGTATGTATACATATAATATAACATAAAGAGAGTAAAAAGGGAAGCCAAGCACTAACAGTGCAGAGACTACTTGGGATTCTTTCTCCCTCTCTCTCTGCCCCTCCCCCACTCTCTCATGCACGTGCACTCTCTCTTTCAAAATAAATAAATAAACTTAAAAAACAATTTAGAGAGAAAAAAAGGGGAAGGGCCGTCTGGGTGGCTCGGAAGGTTAAGCATCCAACTCTTAGTTTCGGCTCAGGTCATCATCTCACGGTTCAAGGGACTGAGTCCCACATCGGGCTCGGCACTGGCAGTGCGAAGCCTGCTTGGGATTCTCTTTCTCCTTCTCTCTGCCCCTCCCCAACTTGTGCTGTCCCTGTCTCTCTCAAGATAAATAAATAAACTTAAAAAGCCTTTAAAATAAATAAAAATTTTAAAAATAATAAATAATAAAAAAAAGGGAAGCCAAGAAGTTGGAGAAGATGTTACAAATCACCAAGAAAATGACACATCATAGAAAAATAAGATGAAGTGGAAAATGGGAAGACTGCACAAAAATGGGCCTGGGAAACACAAATCAATAATAAACATATAAAAAGTTGCTCTTTAGGGGTGCCTGGGTGGCTCAGTCGGTTAAGCGTCTGATTCTTCATTTTGGCTCAGGTCATGATCTCACCGTTTGTTAGTTCAAGCCCTGCATCAGGCTATGCACCAACAGCATGGAACCTGCTTAGGATTCTGTCTCCCTCTCCCTCTCTGCCCCTCCCCCGCTTGCTCTTTCTCAAAATTAATTAAAATAAACTTAAAAAAACTTGCTCTTTACTAATCAAAGAAAAGCATATTAAATGCTCAAAGATACCAAGGCATACGTACATACCAGAAAGAATAAAATTAAAAACTGAGAATAACAAATGTTAGCAAAGATACATAGCAAGAGGAACACATATCCATTGTGTGTATGAATGCAAACCAGTACAACCATTTTGAAAAAAAATATACTATAGTTAAAGAGATGTACACTCTATGATCCAGTAGTTCCACTCATAAGTATTTATACAACAGAATTCAATGCACAGCTATACCAGATAACATGTATTAAAATATTGCTTTCCTTTATGTAGCTCTTAAAACTTTTTAATCATACCCTTATAGAAAACTTCTAAGTACAGTTCAAAGAACTATTTTTCCTGTATCATTTGTAACTGCCAAACTGATGACTCATCAACTCAGAATATTTCATTGCATTTTTCTATAAACTAGGGTATTCTTCTAGGTAACAAAGTAACCATCAAAGTCAAGAAATTAAAATAGATACATTCCTACCATTTAATCTTCAGACCCTTACATTTAAGGGACATCAAACGTCCCAATAATGTTCTATATAGCAAAATCCAATTCAGCATCTACGTTGCCTTTGTAAAGTCTATTTGATTTCCTTCTGTCTAATGAGTTCCTTAGTCGTATCCTGCTTATTATGACCTTAACAATTTTGAAGATTACAGGCCAGTTATTTTGTAGAATGTGCTTCAATTTGAGTTGCTTTCAAGCTCACTCATGCGATTATCAGTAGGAAGCTTCAGTTCCCTGCCTGTTGACCTCTCCACAAGATAGGGCTGCCTACAACACGGTTTTCCCCAGAGGGAGTGACCAAGGCAACTTAAGAAAGAAGTCATAATTTTTTATAACCTAATCTTGAAAATGACATAGCATCACCTTTGCTGTATTCTGTTGGTCACACAGACCAATCCTAGAATAACTTGAAAGGAGACTGCACAAGAGTGTGAATGCCAAAAGGCAGGGATCATTGGGGGTTATCTTGGAGGTCAACTACCACATCTGAGATCTCTACATGATTAGATTCAAGCCATGCCTCTTGGCAGGAATGTAACAGAAATGGGCTGTGTCCTTCTCACCATATTCCTACCAGGTGACACAAGATGGCAATTTGTCTTATTACTGATGATATGCACTCTGATTCCTTGATTAAGGAGGGTTGACCAAGTTTACATTCTAAAGTTACTTTTTGTACTTTTGTAATTATGGTGGTTGTAAATGATGTCCACAAATTTTTCATACTTTTCACTTCAAAAAGGGAAGCCCTAATTCCCTACCTTTAAGGGTGGCTTAGATTTAGCATCTTGCTTCTAACAGAATAAATCAGGATGGTGTGACTTTGAAGATTAAGTCACTTAGCTGACATGTCATGCAGACACTGAAGCAGCCTCTAGGGAGGCCCACGTGGTGAAGAACTGAGGCCTCCTGCCAATAGCCCTGTGAATGAGCCATCTTGGGAGACAGATCTGCCAGTCCTGATCAAGCCTTCAGATAACTGCAGCCACTAAGTTCTGAGGCTCCTGGGTGGTTCAGTTGGCTAAGCGTCTAACTCTTGATTTTGGCTCAGGTCATGATTTTACTGTTTGTGGGATCGAGCCCCATGGTGGGCTCTGTGATGATGGTGCACAGCCTGCTTAGAATTCTCTCTCTCCCCCTCTCTCTCTCTGCCCCTCCTCTGCTCATGAATGTGCACTCTCTCACTCTCTCTCAAAATGAATAAATAAAAATTAGGGGGCGCCTGCGTGGCTCAGTTGGTTAGGAATCCAACTTTGGCTCAGGTCATGATTTCACAGTTCGTGAGTTTGAGTC